TATTGCCGGGTCCAGGGAAGGCTTCTTGAGGAGAGGTCTCACCACCGCCTCTTTCAAGGCGGCGGGAAAGACACCCTCGCCCAATGAAGCATTTATAATCCCCTGGAGCCAACCTCGCGTCACCTCCCGGGAAGCCAGCACTAACCAGGAGGGGCACGGGTCCAACAAACATGTGGTCGCATTCAGTCTACCCAAAATCCTGTCCACGTCCTCAGGGGTCACAGAATCAAACTCATCCCAGATAACATTCTCAGGACCTGCCTCCGTCATCCCCGCTGGATCTACCCAGTCGGAGTCCAGATCTTCCCAAATCTGAGTGATTTTGTCATACAGATACTGAACAAAATCCTCGGCTCTTCCCTCCAAGGGGTCCTCCCTCGCTTCCTGGTGGAGCAGGGAGCGGGTCACCCTAAACAGGGCGGCCGGGCGGTTATCTGATGACGCAATAAGAGCAGCAAGATAAGTGCATTTCGCTGTTTTTATCGCCACTAGGTAATTCTTAATATGAGATCTTACCAGTGTCCGGTCAGATTCAGTACGACTGGCCCTCCAACTACACTCTAGGCGTCTTTTCCGGCGCTTCATCTCCCTCAGCTCCTCAGTAAACCAAGGAGCCAGGTGAGATCGGCGCCGGGTCAGAGGCCGCAAAGGCACGACTCGATCCAGAGCTCCAGCGGCCGCCCTATCCCAGGCGGCCACTAGGTCTCCAGTCGAGGCGTGAGCCAGAACCTCAGGGATTGGCCCAAGCTCCATCTGGAACTTATCAGGTTCCATCAGGCGCCTGGGGCGGTACCAACTCATCGGTTCCGCCTCCCTGCGGCGGGGAGCAGCGGTTCGAAGGTCAAGGCGAAGGAGAGAGTGATCCGACCATGCAAGGGCTCGATGACTATGTCCCCTATCTCGAGATCACTCAGCCACTGTCCAGAGACAAAAATCAAGTCCAGTGTGTTTCCCCCCATGTGCGTAGGGCCATGAATTAGCTGGGTCAGATCCATAGCCATCATGGAAGCCATGAACTCCCGAGCCACCTCAGACGTCTCACCCACGGACGGCAGGTTGAAATCCCCCATGACCATAAGTCTGGGGGTATCAACCGCCACTGCGGTGATAACGTTGAGTAGCTCGGGCAGGGCTGCTGCCACGTGGCAGGGAGCCAGGTACATGATCAGCAAACCCCTCTGAACCCCATGACCCCACTCCACAAGGAGGGTCTCACAACCGGCCGTCTGAGGAACAGTGGCCTCCCTCGGCCTAAGGCCTTCTCTAATAATAACCACTACTCCCCCGCCCCTCCCCTGTGACCTCGGCTGATGGAATGCCTGGAATGCCCATTCATGAAAGAGAACCATTGAGCGTAGCACCAAAGTTGCAGGAGCTGCGTTAGTTGCCAGTAAGCTTCCAAGACCCATAGATGGCTTGGCACCTGGGTACCCCCAGGCAGAGATTTGCATTTTCTGAGACCACGTGAGAGACTGAGGAAGAACAGGGATGGGAAGGGAATAGGATTGGACAGATACAACAGAACAGATGATGTCTCTGTCAGTGTTCGTCCGATGGAGTTTCTTGGGCCAGAATGGAACCCTCACTGGTGGTTTTGAGGTGAGCGGTCAAGAGGAGATTGTTCTGGAGAGCATCTGGGGCTTGATGTCACCAAGTTCTCATCCTGGGGGAACGGCTGCTTTAACTGCATTTGGGGAGGGGGATTGTTGGATTGTGTGTAAACCACTAACTTCCATGTGGAATCAGCAGGATGCAAATCTTACGATTAGCTCCTTTCCCAAACATGCTTTTCATTCCCCCTTTTAGAAAAATGCCATTTCATGTGTCAGGGGATGTCAACCCAATCCAGTCTATTTAAGAAAGAAAGCAGCAGAAATTCTGAAATGTTTTGAAAATAGGCATTTGATGCTTCATAAGCACGGCAAGAACTTGACTTTTGCAAAAGAAAATCTGTGAATTTGGGGGTGTCAGCCATTTAGCCTTTCAAGTAAAAGATTGGGTTGATCTTGGTATGTGGAATAATCTGATCGTCCCGGCAGCTCCTCTCATACCTGCTAAACCAGACTGGGAAAGAGATTAGTCTGCACAAATTTTGCCAAGTTCCAGAGATAATTTCTAGAAGGAAAGTGGGATGGGAAAAATGTTCCAAACGCTAAGCAAGTTACTGGTTTTTGTTTTAGAAACCAAGCGAGGAAAGACTGAAATTCAGCAGCTGGAGGATGAGCTCCAACTTATTGGGCAAAAGATGCAGTATTACTACAGCCAGCAGCAGGAACTGAAGTGGGTACCAAAAACGCCTTTCTGTTCCAATTCAGGGGTCGGTTTCTGCTTTGCAGCTTGTAGAAAAGTCTGAACCAGAAGAATCGCTCGGCTGTGGAGGATGGGCAGGAAGACCTCCTTCTCCTCCCTAGCACTGGTGACGTTACCTAGTTTGGATAATGAAACATCTGCATCAAAACAACCAAGCTCAAAGCACCTCAGACCTCCTCCTGTAGAGCTGGGAGGCTGGATGGATGCTGCCCTGCTTTGCACGGCCTGCTGTCCTCTCCTTGCCCCTTCAGAGGTGCCGAGAGCATCTGCTGGAAAGCAGTGTTCTGGGGAGAGTGAAGGGCCTGGGTGGGGGCAAGCCGGGGCCCTTTGACTGCGGGGGAGAGGGGCTGTGGTTCTCCCACCAAGGAAGGATTCAACCCAGCCTGATCTGCCAGGGTCAATGAAGAGTCAGCCCCTCTTCTCTCTCGTTTCCTGTGAGGTGGCATTGAAATGGGGCTGGTTGTCACCCAGTTTCCTTGTGAAGCCAAGTTGGTGGTGGATGGGAGTCATTCTCCAGGTGGATATGGAAGGCAGTGGCTGTGTATGTGTGGTGGCTGCCTAGTGGTCAGAGCAGATTGGAAACCAAGACCTATTTGAAGAAGGATGGGCCTGTTCTGTCCGTGGAGGCCCAGGAGCCTCCTGGATAGTCAAGTGTTTATTTTGGAAGAGGTTTTGCCATCTAGCTTCCTTGTGTTTTCTATTTATTTCTTTTACTCTTTCTAATTAATGGCTTGTAAGAGCAGAGTTGATGTGAGCTGTGGGCAGAAATTCTTTGCCTGTTGCATCAGTTGCTTCTCTGTAAGAACAATGAACTGTTTTCACTTGTCTTTTAGGTTTTACCAGCGACAAGAACGGCTTCTTTGCAAGTGGCTGGAATTGAGAGGAGTTGGGGAACCCACCGATGCGCAGGAAATCCGTGAGAAGCTGGGCCAGGTATCAACTTGAGGCCTCTGGGGTCACTGACAGACAGGACAGCATCAGACAGGCCAGAGCCAAGTGCTGCAACATTTCAGCTTCTTCAAGATGAGCGGAAACGAGCCTTGCAAACCCCCCTCCCCCCCCCCGATACTTTCTGGCTTTGGCAGGCTCCTAGTTCCTTTCTTGTCCTGTAGTTGTAGGACTGAACATGGAAGCTCACCTTTACCTTCATAGGTTTTAAATGCAAGGCAGCAAAAATAACACAGGTGAAAACTGGAACATTGTAGGAATTGGAGGAGTTGTTACTAGGCAAAATTGCTTTGTGCCTTTGCCTATCACAACAGAAGATCCTGATTTTCTTAAGTGTGCATATAACATATTCCCAAGGTCTGGATTTTCTATTAGAAATTACTATGCTGAACCCGATAATCACTTTCAGAATCCAGAAAATTGGCAGCTGCATCATAATTCGCAGGTTGCTTAGCACCCTCCACATACCTTTCCATGATATTTGCAAACGAGAGAAATTATGATTGATCCTAGTTAGACACAAGACTAAAATTTAGACCAGTGTTTCTCAACTTTGGCAGCTTGAAGATATGTGGACTTCAACTCCCAGAATTCCCTAGCAAGCATAAAAGTTGAAATATCCTTATCTTAAAAATACCAACGTTGAGAACAATTGGTTCAGACTCATGAAATTGGAAGGAACATCAGTCCAACCCCTCTAACTCTTGTCAGGGATTCACTAGAACCTCAGGCAGATGACCATTCAGCCCGTTTCAAGGCTTCCAGCAAAAGAGAGCTCAGGCTTCCCACATCTGGCTCATAGTCCAGAGGCTTCTCTTGACGTGTAGCCTTCCTTGCAACTTTAACCCTTGCTTTTCTCAAGAGAATAAGCCCACTGCCACCTGTGTGTGATATCTTCAGATATTTAAAGATTGCTGTCCTATCTGCTCTTCTGTAGATGAAACACGCACATTCTTCCACTTCTCCAACTGTGCAGGTCTTGGGTTGTGGGCCCTTCACCACCTGAACTCTCCCCAGTGGGCCCCTCTCTCTCCTTTTTGACCTGTGGTGCCCAGAACTGGAAGAATATTCCCAGCAGGTCTCGATTAAGGCAAAGGAGAGGGGAACAATGACTTCTCCTGACTTCTGTGCTCCCGTTAACACACTCCAAAATAATACTCATCTTCTTTTAGCAGAGACATTACATTGCTAACCCCACATTTTCCTTGGAAGTAAATGAAGCTGCTCTTGCTTCCCTCAGATCCCTGAGAAATAAACTTAGAATTGGTCTGGCAGATTGAAGACCAGCAGGAAGTGCGAGACTGGTGGTTGCTGATGGAAAAACGTTTAGGATGAAGGAGCCTAGCAATAGTTTCAGAAAGGTACAGCGTGCCATCATGTCCCCCTTCATGTTTCTGGGTTTGGTTCTGTTTTTTGCAGCTGAAGGTGCAGATTGCCTCACTTGTAAGCACGTTGGAAGGAGAGCAGCAGCTGATGCAGAAATATGTGGGCCGCGTCCAGGACATCCGAGCTGCTCTGGAGACCTGGGCAACGGCATCTCCACCTCCGGTCTAGGTGAGGACGCACGGAGGATTTGCTCTCTCTCCTCCCTTCTGCCTGGCCGGAGAAGCTGCGCCCAGATAGTCCCGCCTGTTCCTCAGGGGACCCTGAAACCGAACCACCCCAGGAAGGGAAAAGGGGACTTGCTTTTAAGAACCCATCAAGAGCATTTTCCAAAATTAAAACACTTTTAACAGTCAAAGCATGGTCAGTTCTTATTTTTACTTTAAAACATTTGCCATTAATGAGTTAATGTCTTAAGTTGTACATTTTGACATACAAAAATACTGTGCTACTGATACAGTTGAAAAATAAAAGGATTCTCCATGTTGGAGAAATTCACAGCGTCACCAAGAAACCCACTCGTCTGGTTAGAGTTTGGGTGACCCCCTGAGCCCACCGCTTCACAGGACCTGGCCCAGAACCGCCTTCTGACGGAGACCCGCTGAAGGGGCTCCTCTACAGCAGAATTCGAGCAACAAGAAAACGGGAGGCTCAGAGTCGAACTGCAATGCAAGCAAAGAGAAGCAAGTAATTCCTCTCCACGAATAGGGCAAGGCACAGCTGTCTGCCGTGGGTCTCCTTATGTCTTCCCTGGGCCGGATGGCAGCAGAGCACAGGCTGATTTTGGAGGATTAAAGAGCTGTTTTCTGGCTAAGGACTTCACTTCTGCATTTGGGGGGGAAGTGAGGGAGGGACCAGCCATCACAAAGGACCACTTTCTGCCTCTCATCCCTCACAGCCACAGAAAAAGGCTCTTATCATAGATAAAGCAGCATCACACACACAGGACACGGGTCTGATCAAGCCCTGTTCTACATTTATCTACAGCCTGGGTGTCTCCTAAAACTACTGGCCATTAAAACAAAGAGACCATTTGGGGCGGGGTGTGTGGCATAACTCCAAAGTCTGAAGCCTATAAATAATATTTTAGGGCAACCTGGAGAATTTATTGTGTTCAATTCAGCTTCCTCCTCAGCCTTAACTAGCTCCAGCAGAGAATTAGAAGTTAATGCACAGGAGAAAAGATGAGAATGATTTAATATTCCTAATGATGTTTTTTAAGTGGTGCTGGGCAGAGTCCACCGTGCCACTTCCCTGCACAGTGGGAAGAGAAGCAAACTCTCATCCCTTGTGATGGGACTGGTGTGTGTTTTGGCAAGCCAGGTTCAAGAAAGGAAATCTGATATCCCCCGTGCAACACAGAAAAAGTGAAGGCCCAGCATGGCAAGAGAGTTTTAGAAGTTGGAGGAAGCTAGAGGAAGAGGCCAGCTGGGCTCCTCCAATCCAAAGCAACATCAAGTGAAATGCTGAACACGGACTGGATGTTGGAGGCTCAAAGACAGCGCAAACCTCTCCTTTAAAGGGAGAGAACTAGATTTTTAGCAGGTTTCTTAATTGGATTTCAAGCTGCATTTTTTTTTTCTGTTTAGCCCTCCCCCTTCTCTAGGATTGGACTGAAAAACTGGTGTGTGTAACCTCAATTGAATGAGGCCAGTTGGATCCTGTCCCTTTAAAGAAGAGAGCTTCCTTCTGCCTTTCCTCTTCCTCTTGACCGCAGAGCTTATGGCATCTCAGGGCAAAGCTTGAGGAGTGGTGCAAAGGCAAGCTGCAGGTGGAGCAAGGGGAAGAAGCTGCCATCCTTCCAGAGCCCGGAGGGAAGAAAAGCACCCGATCCACATTCTTCAGGGCCACGGTCCCCGATCAATCTGCAACCCTCACGATGAGACTAGCCTGGCACCCCCAGGTTAAGACTAAGGACTCGTTCTCTTCACTCAGGTCCTGCTGAGCAATACTCCACCATACCGAACGGCTTCCTTGTATGAACGGAGTCCCTATCCATAGAAAAGCCCCTCCCCTCTGACCACCGAGACCTTAGAGGGACCCCAAAGCCTCCCCAAAGCGGATCTTCTGGCCAGGCTTCAAGTAGAAGTTGAAATCTTTGGGTGCCTCAAAGATTAGAACAATTGTTGAGCCTAAATTAAATTCGCCTAAATGTTCTCCTTTCCTCATTGGAATGCCTTCGTGGTCCTTGGTGGTTACAAAGCTGAAATCATTGAAGGATCCTTTGCTGTAGTGAGGGCTGTTGGTCTGCAGCTTCTGCCGAGAGAGAGGAGGGGAAAAGGCGGTTTATCTGGCAGGTGAGGAAGACGCAGTCGGCCACTTTCATTCTTTGTCTATTGCCTGAACTCGCTCTGTGTGTTAAAGATGGGGGAACCCAAGGGTGGTGGTCCTGCCTGATCCTCAGAAGGGGGCTCTGGTACTCCTGGGGAAGCCCTGCCAGCCTTGGCCCAACTCGGGGTTTTTCACAGTGACAGGAGCAACTTCCGGGGTCCACAAACTACTTAAGCTTCCCCCCACTGCCAACTCAATTACCTGGTGGCCCTCCAGCTATTCTGGAGCCTAGTCTCCTTGTGCCTCTGGGCAGGCGCCAGTAGGCAGAGATGCCGGGGTTCATCCACACCTGAGGGCTGCACACCCCACCCACAAATGCCTCCCTTTGACGTTTCCTCACCTGATCGCAGTAAATGCGGATGGATCCCACATTCTGAGCTCCTACTGCTGTCAAGGAAAAGAAGCCGTGTTTCCAGTAGCCCGAGAGGACGACCCGCTCGTTATGGCAGAAGAGTTCTTTGATCCAACGTGCTACGCCAGGGTTCACAGACATCAGGGCACCTGGGGAGAGAGCCAGTCTCTGCTGTTGCTTTGGCTTATCCAGAAGGTGGGAGCAGAACTGAGGTGGTGGGAGGGGAGATGCCAGAAGACCGTCTCGGGGCCCCTTTGAGGCACTCTAAGGTCTCCAACCATTGTGAAAAGTAGCTCAGCAGAAGTTTGAAGACAACGTCTACCAGAGAAGGATTGCCCCTAACATTCATTGAATCTATTGCCCTGGTGGCACCGTGGTTAGAATGCAGGATTGCAGGCCCACTGTCTGCAGTTTTACCCTGACAGGCTCGAGATTGACTCAGCCTTCCATCCTTCTGAGGTGGGTAAAATGAGGACCCAGATTGTTGGGGGCAACATGCTGACTCTAACCCTGTGCTAACCCACACAGAGAGGGCTGTAAATCACTATGGGGTGGCACATATTGTAAGTTTAAGTGCTAGTGCTAGTGAAGAGAGGGAGAGAAGGCTTGCCAAGGCAGGCTGAGGGAGAAAAACTAGAGGTGGGGACTCGATTCCTTCCCCCAGGAAGGGATCTGCCACAAGGTTACATACTGCTCGGGACTGCTGCTCTGTTTGAGCTACTGTGGGGATAGCAATAGCCCTTAGACTTATATACTGCTTCACAGTGGTTTCCAGCCCTCTCTAAGCGGTTTACAGAGTCAGCATACCACCCCCAACAATCTGGGGTTCTCATTTTATCCACCTCGGAAGGATGGAAGGCTGAGTCAACCCTGAGCCAGTCAGAATCGAACTCTTGGCAGCGAGCTCTGTTAGCTTACAATACTGCACTTTAAGTGCAGTGCAATACTGCACTGCACCACTAAGGCTCATAAGAAAGAGCTCCCTCCCAAGTGAGCTAAAGTGGGTGCTGTCCTCCTGGACCTCTGAGGGGGCTGGAAATGATGGGAAAGGGCTTAAGGTCTTCCCCTCCCTTTTGGTCTCCTGACCTTTCTCTGCTGCCAGGGATGGGGCTTCGCAAGATTCCACCCAGCCCCTTTCTTGCTAGGATGCCTTCCTGCACCTCCCTGTTGTTTCAGGGAAGCAAAGATTGGGCAGTGGCTGAAAGAGCCCAGCATTTGCTAAACAAAGAAAACTCCAAACTTCTTTAGGAACAGCTGTCTTTGATCCATCCCTGGGACAAAGACTTTGGATCCCAAAATTACTTCTAATTCATGGCTTCCTCTTCATCAGGTTTTCTTGTCTACCTGCAGAGGACTGTGGGGAGAATCACCAACTCCAGATTTCTCTGAAGTGGGGAGATTCTGGGAATGTGCAGCATAAACTTAGTGAATCAAACTGCCATCCCCCAATGGATGTTGGCATCAATTCAGCAGAGAAGATGCTGCTCGGGAACCCAGAGTGAGGTGGAACCTATCAAGTGGCTCATTTGATTTTGTGTGATCACTGGTTGTAATTGTTGTCGTTTTATTCTTTTATATTGGGTTTTTATTATTTGTAAGCTGCCCAGGTCCAGAAATATTGGGACATCAACACAATTCTAACATCTTTGGCTCTATACACCACCACAATGGAGTTGGAATGAAACAAACACAATGTGCTTTAACTGCAGACTGTCAGCTTTAATTTGACGGTATGTACATCCAACTCAGGTGAACGGTGTAGGACTTACAGCAGTTTGCATATGTGCCTCCCACTTGTTAAGGGACCAAAAGTAATGGGACAGAATAATAATCATAAATCAAACTTTCCTTTCTTAATACTTGGTTGCAAATCCTTTGCAGTCAATCACAGCCTGAAGTCTGGAACGCATAGACATCACCAGAAGTTGGGTTTCATCCCTGGTGATGCTCTGCCAGGCCTCTACTGCAACTGTCTTCAGTTCCTGATCTTGGGGCATTTTCCCTTCAGTTTTGTCTTCAGCAAGTGAAATGCATGCTCAATGGGATTCAGGTCAGGTGATTGACTTGGCCATTGCATAACATTCCACTTCTGTCCCTTCAAAAACTCTTTGGTTGCTTTTGCAGTATGCTTTGGGTCATTGTCCATCTGCACTGTGAAGCGCCGTCCAATGAGTTCTGCAGCATTTGGCTGAATGTGAGCAGATAATATTGCCTGAAACACTTCAGAATTCATCCTGCTGCTTTTGTCAGCAGTCACATCATCAATAAATACAAGAGAACCAGTTCCATAGGCAGCCATACATGCCCACGCCGTGACACTACCACCACCATGCTTCACTGATGAGATGGTATGCTTAGAATCATGAGCAGTTCCTTTCCTTCTCCATTCTCTTCCCTTCCCATCACTCTGGTACAAGTTGATCTTGGTCTCATCTGTCCATAGGATCTTGTTCCAGAACTGTGAAGGCTTTGTTAGATGTTGTTTGGCAAACTCTAATCTGGCCTTCCTGTTTTTGAGGCTCACCAATGGTTTACATCTTGTGGTGAACCCTCTGTATTCACTCTGGTGAAGTCTTCTCTTGACTGTTGACTTTGATACACATACACCTACCTCCTGGAGAGTGTTCTTGATCTGGCCAACTGTTGTGAAGGGTGTTTTCTTCACCAGGGAAAGAATTCTTCGGTCATCCACCACACTTGTTTTCCATGGTCTCCCAGGTCTTTTGGTGTTGCTGAGCTCACCGGTGCATTCCTTCTTTTTGAGAATGTTTCAAACAGTTGTTTTGGCCACGCCTAATGTTCTTGCTATCTCTCTGATGGGTTTGTTTTGTTTCTTCAGCCTAATAATGGCTTGCTTCACTGATAGTGACAGCTCTTTGGATCTCATCTTGAGAGTTGACAGCAACAGATTCCAAATGCAAATAGCACACTTGAAATGAACTCTGGGCCTTTTATCTGCACATTGTAATTGGGGTAATGAGGGAATATCACACACTTGGCCATGGAACAGCTGAGAAGCCAATTGTTCCATTACTTTTGGTCCCTTAACAAGTGGGAGGCACATATGCAAACTGCTGTAAGTCCTACACCGTTCACCTGAGTTGGATGTACATACCGTCAAATTAAAGCTGACAGTCTGCAGTTAAAGCACATTGTGTTTGTTTCATTCCAACTCCATTGTGGTGGTGTATAGAGCCAAAGATGTTAGAATTGTGTCGATGTCCCAATATTTCTGGACCTGACTGTAAATCTAAATAAACACTGAAGCCGTTTGCAGGCCGCTGTAATGAGAAGGTGTTCCTGAGCGGTGCTTGGAAAAGAACTGATGTTTCACTTGTTCCATGAACAAATGTCAGTGTGTGAAGAGCTGCCTCTGGCTCTCCCACCTGTGGAAAGGAAGCCTACCTGGGAAGTGACGGCGATGAGAGACCTTCCAGTCGGTGGGTGAGTGGAAGCAGTGGTAGTCTCCTGGGGCCAGGTAAATCACACAATGGAAGAGCTCGTTGTTGTCTTTTGTGACCAACTGTTTTTGGAAGGACTCGCAACAGGAAGCTGAAAAAGAGCAGCAGAGGGAAGGTTTTCTGAGAAAGAACTGCAAAGCTGCCTAGTTCCTGATCCAGCAACTCAAATCATTCACTCCTTCACCTGCTCCAGACAAAAGCTAAGGGCTGATCCTGGCATCACCTGCATGTAAAGCAGGGCCCAGCCCAGAGCAAGAAGACTCAGAGGCAACTGGATGGGGAGGGGGGAACATGCAATGGCCATAGCTTTAAAAACAAGGTACGTCTAAATATCCCGTGATACTTGGAGAGGGGAACCAGCGTTTTCTTACAACAATTTGGTTTTTCAAAGCATCGACTGCTGCATATGGCCTTATGCGGGACATAGAGAAACTCAGAAGCAAAGCTGGAATGCCGATCTTGAGCTTTCATTCCAGATTCATTACTGATGAAAATCCAGAAGTGAACACAAGAACAGCGGTGGCGCACCGACATGCACCTTTCCCCTGCAAATTTATATTAAATATACAGCCATCAGACTGAATTACAGAACACCACTTATTCCTTGTGTGTGAGGGTTAGGAGCTGAACAGCCATTGGGGCATCCAACACTGCAAATTTGGCTTCTGAAAAAACTACCTTGGAGACCATCACGTCTTCTGACAAGAGATCTGGTCATCCTTGGCCACAGAGCAGATTGAATGTCTGCCCAAAACCCTCTCTCAGTCCTACCTACCCCGTGGGAAAGTTGTGGAAGGAGTTTGCCTCCTTGGAGGACAAGCAGAGCAAATGAACAACAAAGAGAAATGAAGTGAATTTCTCCTTGGGGACAGGAGAAATTCCCTCACTTTCCTGGGTGCACGGCAGTCCTGAGCTGCATGGCCTCCTCCCACAGGACAGACATAGCTGCCTTCCATGGATTGCCAGCCTTTGTCTCTTGACTCCTCCGCTGAGCAAAAGGGGGGAGGCAGTACAGATGCAAAGTGCACCTGGTTCTTTAACTCCACTTAACTCCTTCTGATGTTTCTAGGGAGGGAGAGGAGGCGGGGGGCCTTGCCTTGGTGCAATTCATCCTTCTAAAGATGCTTCGAAGTCTGTCCAAGAAGGGAGAGGGCTGCTCTGTTCAGCGGGGCTGCCTTCTGCCCCGCTAGCAAACTGTTTGAAAAGAAGGATCCTGGAGCTCAAAGGGAAGACTCACTTGGATTATTTTGGCAGTTGTCGTGACTGGCATGGGGACCCAGGAAGGACTCTAGAGAGTAAGTGATGCCTTTTACTTGTTCCACTTCACAGTTCTTCACTTGTCCAAAACTGAGGATCTTTCCATCCGAAGGACTGATCTGTAGAGGAGAAAGAGTAAAAAGAAGCTGGATGCTATTTTCTCTTCCACTTCTACTAAACAATATCAATGGTTACTCAAATTTACAGTACTTTGTCCTACTTTCGTTAAATGCAATAAGAATAATATGGATGTGATTAACCAACCCAAACAAGCAGCATTAAAACAACTTTAACTGAAAAGGTTTTCTACAACTTCCCTATCCAAAAATGGAAAAGGAGGAAGCAGAGCAGCTGCCCTTTGACCCAGAAACTGACCACGCTGTGCCGGTCGCAGACGGGCCGCGCCTGGGGTTTCAGCTTCCGTCGGAAAAATTCACTCAGGTTCCGGTAGTGATGGAGGTCCTCCACGGCCGCCTCCTTCATGTTCACCCCAAAGGTCCAGATGTAGAGGCTGAGGACGGGCTTCCGCAGCCAGGTGGGCAGCTCCACATTGTTCAGCCGGCCCCACGCACGGGAGAGCAGGCGGGTTGGCACTGACTTGTACAGAGAGACCTAGAGAGAGGGGGAGTCAGGGAGTCAGGTGCACCACGGTGTGGCCACAAGGGTCATCTGCAATTTGGGGGAAGAAGGAGAAAAATCCCCCTGGTAATAATAATAATAATAATAATAATAATAATAATAATAATAATAATAATTTTATTTCTATACCGCCCTTCTCCCGAAGGACTCAGGGCAGTGTACAGCCAATTTAAAAACACAAGACACAACAATAATTAAAAATTAAAATAATTAAATAGATTTGGCCGATTTAAAACCCCAAAAATTTAAAATACCCCAATTTAAAATTATTAAGTTGATAGCCCGGCCTGGCGGAACAACAGGGTCTTCAATGCGCAACGAAACACCCGGAGGTCGGAGATCTTACGTATTTCCGGGGGCAGTTCATTCCACAGGGCTGGGGCTCCCACAGAGAAGGCTCTCCCCCTGGGTGTCGCCAGCCGACATAACTTGGCTGATGGCACCCTGAGGAGACCCTCTCTGTGGGAGCGGACTGGTCGGTGGGAGGCTATTGGTGGCAGAAGTCGGTCTCGAAGGTACCCGGGTCCTATGCCATGGAGCGCTTTAAAGGTGGTAATCAACACCTTGAATCGCACCCGGAAGACCACTGGGAGCCAGTGCAGCTCGCGCAGGAGGGGTGTCACGCGGACACAACGAGTTGCGCCCATAACCACCCGCGCGGCCGCATTCTGGACCAGTTGGAGCCTCCGAGTGCTCTTCAAGGGGAGCCCCATGTAGAGAGCATTATAATAGTCCAGCCGGGAGGTGACAAGGGCATGAGTGACCATGCGCAAGGCGTCCCGGTCCAGAAAGGGCTGCAACTGGCAGATCAGGCGAACCTGATAAAAGGCCCCCCTGGCCACGGCCGTCATATGCTCTTCTAAAGACAGCCGTGCGTCCAGGAGGACACCCAGATTGCGAGCCCTCTCTGTGGGGGGCAAAGATTCACCCCCAATAGTCAGCGATGGCACCTGCTGACTATATCGGGACGCCGGAAGCCACAGCCACTCAGTCTTGGACGGGTTGAGTCTGAGCCTGTTCCTCCCCATCCAGACCCGCACGGCCTCCAGGCAGCGAGACATCACATCAAGGGCATCGTTGGGGTGGTCTGGGGTGGAAATGTACAGCTGAGTATCATCAGCGTACAGATGACACTTCACCCCAAAACCACGGATGATCTCACCCAGTGGCTTCACATAACTGTTGAACAGAAGGGGCGAGAGGACCGACCCTTGTGGCACTCCCCATGCGAGATGCCTCGAGGTCGACCTCTGCCCCCTGCCAACACGAACTGCGAGCGGTCGGAGAGGAAGGAGGAGAACCACCGCAGAACGGTGCCCCCTATTCCTAACCCTCTTAACCGCCGTTTCAGATCAAGAGCAGGGATCTTCCTCCCTCCTGGGATACTGGAACTGGGAAGGCTGGTATAGACTCCCGATGTGGGTCTCTTGTAGTCACACAATATCCTGTTGATTTAACTGGAACTCTGTCCAAGCAGTCTCCGAGAATGAGGCACGACTGAACGGAAGACCAAAACACCCAAACAACCCAGAGCAGGGAACCTGCTATCCACATGGAGCTTTGAGGAGGGATGGGATGAGCAATCCCCTGGCACAGGGACGCCTCCATTCGGTTCACATGTTTTCCCCAGAGAGGCCAAGAACCCTTTGCAGCCTCTGCAAAGAACCCTCCTGGGGTTTCCTTGAGAGATTCAGGAGCCATTTGCACCTCAGAATGGGGTGGCCTACTTCTGGAGAAAGGGTTGATTGGATGGTTAATTGGTTTTGATAGCAAAAGGCAAAAGTCACCTTCCATCAGCTACTCCTTCCCACCATCGTCACAAAATCCATGCCAGAAGGAAATGCGGAAGTGCTCTGGTCTGTTTTTCATTGTTCATTCCAGGGCCTCCTATCCCCCTCTCTGCCTTCACACATTTACTACTATATGAGGAAGAAGTCAGAGTCGGGATGAGCCGACTCTATTTTAACCGGCAATGGAAACACTTCATCACAGATGGCTAAGAATTGCAGCATGTTGACTATGACTATTACTTACATTTCTGCCTTTGGGTTTAGAACCTGAGACTGCAGAAACTGGCTAATTATCAGAAGTAAGAAATCAGCCCTCCTTTTCTTGACCAATGCAATTCCCCTCCCCCTTTCCCCCAAAGGCTGCATGGCTCCATGCCTGTTTAGCTCCATGGTCAAAAAAGGCCCATCCAGCTCAGCCTGCCTTGTCTCAAGCCAACGGAAGCTCTGTCCTCTAGATGGTTTCCTCCGCTGGTCCTGGATCAAGCGGTAACAGTGGAAGAGAAGAGGCTGGGAAGTTTTTCAGAGCATTGCGAGGCTGGAGTTTCCTCCTTCCTGAAGGCCCAAAGAGCTTTGCACCTCTGGCAAGGAAAAAACACCTGGACATCCCAGAATAAAATGGAATGACCCCAGCCTTGAACCTTTTTGCCAAGCCCGAAGAACCAGATCCACATGAACAATCAGATCCACACTTATAGAGTTAAACTAGGCTTGGATGAGGAGGAGGTTGGGGCCGACCTTGGGCCAGTTCTGGAGTCTGGGGAAGGCTCCGATGGATGCTCTGCATCAGAAGCAGAGATAGAGCCAGGGCCATCAGACATTTCCCAGCTGCCTTCAGAGGTGGAGGTAAGTGGGGAGGAAGAACATCTGGGGCCTGTTCCAGATGTGTGGATGCAGAGAGCTCTTAGGAGAGGAGAACAACTGAAGACAAGGAGTCGACTTGGGGAAAAAGGCACATGTGGATGCTGAATGGCCCCTCCCTGGCTGGGAAACAAATAGAAGGAAAGGGGAGTGGTGATTGTGGGAAACAACCCTTTGGATTTTGAAGATTTGGCTCATGTGTTTTGTGCCTCAGAGACTGCTTGCCAGAACTTTATTTACAGCTTTGCGGCTGGAAGTTCCCATCTCAAGGAACTGAGAAGATCTGTTACTGCAGTTAACTCTTTGAAGGATTATTGCCTGGATTTTTCGGTGTGTGGATGTCATTAATTCACAGGAGATAAATAAAGAGGGGGTTTTTGTGACAAGGAGTCTGTTTCTTGTTTCTGCTAAGGCTGGGTCAGAACAACTTTATTGTTCGCTGCCAATAATACAGGAATCTTCCCCAGACTATTTAGTGCCTGGGAAACACTAATTAAGGCTCAAGGGCATTGCGGGGGGGGGGGGGGAGAGGGGGTGTCACACTTTGCCCTCTTGCATTTACAAAGTGAGTCCAGACTAATTCCCTGCTTGAGCCCTCCTGCAAACTGGGATGGTTGCTCTCCAATAGATTTACAGCCCACAAGCCTTTATGAAATTATGCTACAAATACTCCATAGCTTTGGGTTGGGTTTTGGTAGAAAATGAAAAGTGTTAGCAAGTCATAGTACAAAATAATGAAACTATAACAGGAGAGAGGGGAGGAAGCATCCAAAAGTGCATATTCTGCCCCAATAAGGTATAGTCAAGGTATAACACCTGCCTACTGCAAGTTCACCTGATGGACCATGACCAAAAGGAAGGCCCAAACATCTCACGGTGTCAGAATAGAATAGAGCTGGAAGGGACCTTGGAGGTCTTCTAGTCTAGCCCCCTGCTCAAGCAGGAGATCCTATACCATTTCAGACAAGATGGTTTATGGCTTTGGCCCTAAATTTCAAAGCAATTGAATATCTTACTGTTATTTAATATTTCCCATTCTCTTCAGCAGTTACTGAGACAAACTAATGGCAAAAATAAGCTTGAAAACTATGTATATCTTGATATTAACACATCATGATTCTACTGTAGTTCTTGCTGTTGATTTGATGGCTAGACTTGACCCAAACTCTTTATATGTGACTCAAGTGCTTATTCTCCTCTTCACCTAATGGCTTAATCCATCTTCAGTTTGTCACAAAGATCACAGGGACCAGCAGCTGGCCCAAATGATCATTAACTCTGACTCAACCATCTTGGATCTGTAGAAAGGGACCATCAAAAGGGATGGGGCAGATGTGGTGCCAGAATTGCAGGTTACTTCTTATCTCCAAAACTGATAAAAGGTCTTTAAAAAGGATACCCCAACTAGTAGTGATTGCTTCTCTTAGGCTGTGAAATTAGCGTGCAGTATGTTGTCCAGGGTAAACCTGCCTGGGCAAGACTCCCATGGAAAGGCTCAATCATATTGTCTGGTCTAGATGGCAACAATTTCACTATTTTCAAAGTCACTTATAAGATTCTGCAGTGTGTCATCAACACTGCTGTGTACTTCAGTTGAGCCCAGTAGCTGATGACTCATGTGGGACCATGACACCTTAAATTCTAATTAAAACCCGCCTTTATGCAGAGATCTTTGGCATTCCTTATCTTTGGAGATAATTTTGGGTCCTTGTGGAAGATTGTAGAAATTGTAGCTTCTGGGCCCAGTATTTAGATTCATTGGATTTTGAGAGAATCAATGTGGAGCTAAAACAAGAGATACTTGTTTATGACTTCCAAAGAAGGTGAATATTTTCCCCTTACTATTACAAAGATGGTTTGTTTACAAGTCCCTTCACATCTGCCAATTGTCATAAATATCCTGTTGTTCTCCACAGAAGAATCTTCTTCCCAATAAGATTCAATTCTTCACCCTCCATGGTTTTTGAAGGGAGATCTAACATTCCTTCACCTTCATCTCTGTCCTTGTCTGGAGAGGGTGACTGAGTCAATTTCTCCTGCACCTGTTGTAGGGTGCCATTCACCCTCATTTCTGTCCTTAACAGCAGCAGAGCTCCAGCCAGTCTTCTACATAGCTGGCTGAGGAATTCTGGGAGTTGAAACCCACAAGTCTTAAAGTTGCCAAGGCTGGAGGTCCCTGCTCTACACTGATGGCACAGCAGCCATCCCACCCACTGAGCAAAGCAGCGTAAAGCAGAGCCTTCAAGCTCTCCTTCTGCACTAAGGAGAAACTGGCCATCAGTTACCGAAGATAAAGGTATTGGCGGTGCCATTAAGAAGCTTATT